AATTTCCACCTTCATTGGTTGAGCTGGAGACCCTCTTCTTCCTTTTCTTATATTTCTTAGGCTTTCCTGCAAATTTTCAAAAAAAAAAAAAAATCATGTTTGATATTGAAGAAATCATGCACAGAACAAACAAAATCCCTAGCTTGTTTACCAGCTTTGGTGATCGGACCCGCCATTCTTCAGAAGATACCACCTTCGGCGACCCAAGATTCAGGGTGCATAATACCTTTTAACAGCACGACCGTCGCAGCCCACTTTGCTCCCCGTGAACGGTGGCTCAGAGCAGGAGTCCCTGCGGGAGGGGCCTTTAAAATAAAAGGAGGAGAAGAGGAAGTCGGAGGTGATGAGAATGTGCACGTTTCTGGTTTCTACTATTTTCTACTTTCCTCCTTTCTACATTGCAGACTGAGGAGGTAGGGTTCTGGTCTGATTTTATTGGACTTTATTTCAAAAGCCCAAATTATAGCCTAAAACATTTTAAAGCCCAAATCAAATATTGGGTAAACATTGTTGGGTTTAGGCCTGACCCGCTTCATTTTTTTAATGGAACCGAGTTTAAGGAGATCCAAATTCCTCGATTCGCCGGTATCGGGTAATTAGGGCATTGGATATGGTATATTTAATATCTGCAAGTGTGATTACAAATTGATTGATTTACCACTACTAAGAGAAAGGAATTTGATTTTCTTTAAATAAAATTTTAAATTTAAGTTTTATAAAAAAAAAAAAAAAACATAGAAAGAGTAACCATTATGAGATCCAATTTAATTAATTTAAATTAATTAAAATTTAATGTAATTTTTAAATATTAAAAGTTTAATGAAAAAAAGTACAAACTTTTTTTTTTGCACTTTGGTAATTGAGAAAGGAGGAGGGGAATAAGAAACAAAGGGTTTTGAATGTGATTGTGCGGATGAAACATCCATTTACTGGCCACGCAGGTCATTATCAGGTTTAAAAAAAAAGCACAAATTAATTTATTAAAAGACAAAAAAATAATTTTATTAATATGGTATCCTAGGCTTAAGAAAAGTCAAGAATTTCTAGGGGGGGTTTAAGGAGTTGGGTCGCCTGCCTCCAGTTACTTTAGACCTCCTTTTTGTTGTTTTTTGATGAGATTTTTGGCCTTTTATTTTATTTTTATGTGAAAATATTTTGTTAGCAAGAACGATGTAAGATAATAGATGAAAAATTATAATATGATGGTATTATAATTTAAAATTTAATTATTATTAAAATATTAAATATATTTTAGTAGCTATAACTTTTTGTAAATTTAAATACATTAGTATAAAAAACTCCCCATGTAATCTAAAGAATGAACCATACTACTCCACGAATAACAAATGATGTTCACAGATCCTTAGTTTGACTTTCACCCCGAATAGATATTACTTCACTGACTTAGTATTTTTCTTGTAAAAAAAAAAAAAACACCAGCCTGCATCATGGCAGTTTTCCCCGTTCCTCTTCTGACATCCATTTTTCGCTTCAAACAAGTTCGTTATTTTCCACATAAAAATATTTTTTCTTTCCGATTAAATTGTGTCAAGTCCGTTATTTCAGTAGTTCCTCTCCTCTATGCAAAAATAATTGTTATTTTTAATTTTAAATTTATCTTAAATTAATTATTATTTTTAATTTTTAAGATGATTAAATATTTTTTATTTTAATTTTATCCTTATTTATTTATTTTAATTTTATCCTTATTTATTTATTTTAATTAGTCAATTAGTCACAAAAAAAATTTTTTGTTTTATATTTTACGGATATTATTAAAAAATATAAATATTGTCTCCAAATTTTTAATTTAAAAAAAGTCAAAAAAATGACAATTATTTTGAGATAAATAGAGTAATATTTAAAAGCATTTTTCTAACAAAAAATACACGAACTGTATATTTTTATTAAAGTTTATTGTTGTTGTTATTATACTATCTGTTCATTTTTAGTAAACTTAATTTTTTATCTAATAAAGATAAAAAAAAATTTATCTAATAAAATAAAAATATAATAATTTATTAATAAAATTTTATATTTATTCTTAATTATACTACTTAAACTAACAATTTTTATTTAATATAGGTTATGATTATTTTTTAAAATGATAATTGTTTGCACCTAATTTTACAACAAATGGAGTGCTGCCACGTGCCACCCATGATGGCAGATATTTTATTAGTTGAAAGTTGGTGTGAATTTCTTCAGATGAGATTGAGTGGTTATTTCCACAACGGCAGCAAAACCGTTCTCTTGTTGCGAGCTTCCAGAAAGATAATCGCAGCACCAACAAATTAATCAATTTGTTGCAGATATCACGCTGCCATTGGTTTTTCAGGATGCTGCCGCAGATCTTTACCATGCTACCAAGGTGCTATAAATACTTAATGATAAGATCAAGCAAAGGATCGATATCTCACACAACAAACTCAGCACAATTTCTCTTTATGCTTAGAATCATCTTAGTTTCAGCCCTTTTAGTTTAATTTTAGCTCTACGCTTCAGCTTGGATTAGTTTAGCAATTTAGTTTTCCTTTTATCAAATTTGTAATGGTGAGTTTCATTGCCTTCAGTAGTATTTCTTTGTGATTGGATTGCTTCTTTTCCTTTTCTATTTTCCAAGTTTCATTTAATTAAATCAAATGATGTCGACATTTAATTTCATGTTCAATTTCATTTTTGTTAATTTATATTTCATGCTGCCAGTATATTTTCCTTGTTTCTAGTTTTATTTAATTTAACTTAATTTACTTTTGCTGCAATTAAATTTCCTTCTAAAGCTCTGTTTCAATCCGTTTTTAAAGTTCATTTAGATTTTCAGTAGTTTAGCGATCATTTATTTACCTTGCAGTCTTAACTTTTCTTGATTACATTAGCTTTGAGGAGTCCTTGGAATCATATCCAAGGCATTTTGTCGCATAACCCATTTAGTGCAGGAAGTTCATCCCTCGTTTCTGCCAATCGTCTGATCTTTAAGATGCAATTTACGACGTTCTTCCATCAACTCACAAGTTGAGTTCCACGCTTGGAAAGAAGAGAGAGTCATCGGAGAAATCTTTCTTGTTTTAAGCAAAGCAAGTGGCACGCCATTTCATCTGCCACGTGTCAAGGAGATTTTTTGGGATAACAATAATAAAATAAAAATAAATATATTAAATGATATCTTAAAAAATAAAAGTAAACAACTAAATTTAAATGCTCTAAATATAAAACCATATTTACTAAAAATGAATGGACAGGCTATCATATTTTTATACATTTACAAATGAAAAATATAAATAAACAAGTTCGTGTTAAGATTGAACTTACAAAAACAAGTTAATGTTAAAATATAAAATACCAAAATCATTAAAATTGAATTATGTTAACGAGAAAGTGTAAAAATTAACAATTTGTAAATAATGATAAATTCAGCTTGTGAGTAGTGATCTATATTTTATTTCTAATTATTTTATGAGTAAATTTGTTATAATAATTTAAAATTTTAATCTACCAACAGTTTTGGACAAAACACAACTTTCAACAACTTTTTGAATCCATATGAGGATTAAGCTCTAACTACAAACTGGTACCATTAAATTGTTAGCTAAAAGTTTTTACTAAACCCTAAATACACAACAATTTTTTGAGGAAAAAAATTATTAAATACTTTTATCTAGTGATTTGGATAAAATTATCAATTATTATCTTAAATTATTATACCAAATAACCTCTTAAAGTTTTAAATTTTACTTGATGCTCTCGTTCAACAACGGTTCATCTAGTCAAGTTCAAGAATTGTTAATGTGGAAGTTTGGTTCGTTTTAGTACTCTATAATTTGTAATTTAGACAATTTTGATTTATTCATTGATTGATTCATATTTACTTGGATCACACTAGTAAAATGTATTTTTTTTTAGATTAAACCTTAGTCTCAACTTTTGTACATACTCTTGAGTTAATTTTTGAATTAATAGAATCTCTAATATAATTCTTAAAATTTTCAAATTTAACCCTAAATTATTTCCTTTGTTAACAAACTACTAACAAGTCCTATGACTTGATTTGACATGTCCTATTACTCGATGAGAGAATGAAAACACGTCAAAACATCAATCCATGTAGGAACGATGGAATGGCAAAAAAAAAAAACTTAAAAAATTATTATTTTTTCTTTCTTCCTCTATCCCTTTCTCTTTTCTCTTCCTTTCCTTCGACTTCTGCAAACCCTAACTCCTCAAATCGTTTGTCATGGTTACTATAC